GTCAGTTATATTCCTCCACAATGTCTGGACAGGAGGGCAATCTTCTTATTTTAAGTCTAAATTGCCTTGTTAGCAAAATGTCTCTTTTATCTCCTCAATTCCAGAACAAATGCACTTATTTTAGAAATGAGAGTCTCCTCCTCTCTTCTTCATCTGCAGGTTCTCTGGCTTCAGGACCCAGCTCCTATGAAGTGGCGTCTCCAGCCTCTCAGGAACTTTACGTGTTCGATTCAAACGGGACTCACCAGTTCACCATGTCTCTGATCACAGGAGACTTTAAATATAACTTCAGCTACAGGTTGCTTTTCATCACTCTCAGCTGCTACTTTATGCCGTACCTTTTAAAGATGGAGTTTGTTTTCATTTTCTGCTGTCCTGTTATCTCAGCAATGAGGAGGATGTTACCGCGGTGACGGACAGCAGCGGGAACACGCTCCGTATCCGTAGAGACACCAACAGGATGCCGGTCCGTGTGGTTGCTCCTGACAATCAGGTAAGATTTCACATTTCTCCATCCGTGCATTATGAGGACGCAGCTATCTGACTATCAGCTGATGGTTGTTTTTTTTTACGTACAGGTCATCTGGCTGACGATTGGGACCAATGGAGGACTAAAGTCTCTCACAGCTCAGGGTCAGGAGCTGGTTTTATTTACTTACCATGGAAACAGCGGCTTGCTGGCCACCAAGAGCATCCAGATTGGCTGGACAACTTTCTATGAGTACGAAAATCTCTTTTCTGATCTTTGCATCTTATCAATCATCTTATCAATCACCCTTCAGGAGGACTGACCAATAATGACTGATGTCTGAGTCACTGGGCAGGAAAACATAGAGAGGTTACATTTCCTGACTCTTTCAGTTCTAAACAACAGCTTCTATTGGGTAAAATCCTTCCAGCAGCGAGCATTCAGTCATTGACTTTTAGAAGTTTGCATCAAGTCATTTTTCCTGCAGCAGATTTCATAGAGTTGTTGACTCTTAGTAGATTATATCGACCTGTGGGCTTGCAACCGTTTGCATTGAGTCATTGTTGTGCAGCAGTTCGTATCGAGTCAGTAACTTGTTTCAAGTCATTGACTCTTAAGCCGGGCATACACTCTGCGATTTCTTCAATTGTTGCACGCAGCTACAACTCACACTGTACGACCAAACCATGCGGTTTGGTCGTACAGTGTGAGTTCACAGATCACGATGCATGTGCAGCATGATGCCCTGATGCGATCTACTTGCTCACACTGTACGTCTAAAACCAGGTGGGACTCAGCTCTGCAGTGAGATGGAGCTACTCGGACTCGTCTATCCAGAAGCGAAATGACTAGAAGAGGATTATGAAGCTCACTAAAGTGAAACACGCTGCAATTTGTGCGATTTTGTGCTTAAAGCCCTAAAAGAAAAGGCAACGACGTATTTAGACAAAGACATGGCTGATGAAACGTGGCTACTACGGTCTGTCAATTTTACAAAAATATGTAAATACTTCTCTGTCTGTCTGAGAGGAAGATAAAGAAGAAGAATCCTTGTTTGCACACGATTTGCCCACGACCACCTTACGACGGCCGACTTCCCTGCAACTCCCAGCAGAATCCCCTCCAACATCCAGCCACTGAAGTGACCCCCTCATGCATATTTTTTTACTCTGACTCCACCCTTTCACTGAATTACAGGGTCTGACCAGGAGATGTCACTTGTCTTTTGATCTTAATGTCCACAAATCATGAAAAGAATATTTTAGATGTTTAAAAAGGAATTGTAGGGGGCCAGCCAAGGGCCCATTAAGGAAAGTGGGGAAATTTTGAATGGCTCCTACTGTAGGTTCTCTGAGCTTCTAGAAGTTTTTGTGACATGGAAGGCTGGCCTTATTAGCGTTTGTGGTCTCATTCACTGCAAAAACGATCTAGAAATAAGTAAAAATGTCTTAAATTTAGTGTATTTACCCTTAATTTCAGTAGGTAAATGAGATAGTTTGTCAATGGAATGGGTATTTTTACTCTTAAAATAAGATAATTAGATAGAATACACTTGAAATAAGACAATGCTATTGTGTTTTCTTATTTTAAATGTAAATTGTCTTGTTCTTTAGGCAAAATGTCTCTTTTACCTCCTCAATTCAAAAACAAATGCTCTTATTTTATCTACACTGCAAAAACTATCTAGAAATAAGTAAAGATTTCTTAAACTAAGTGTATTCACCCTTAATTTGAGTAGGTACATGAGATAATTTGCCAATGGAATGAGTAATTTTACTCTTAAAATCAGATAATTAGATAATATGCACTTGAAATAAGACAATGCAATTGTGTTTTCTTATTTTAAGTGTAAATTTTCTTGTTCCATTGGCAAAATGTCTCTTTTACCTCCTCAATTCAAGAACAAATGCACTTATTTTAAGAAAAAATGACTTATCTAGATTCTGATTTTTTGCAGTGTAGATTTAGGTTTTTTTCCAGTGTAGAGCTCCTTTACGGTTCTGTGGACTCTTAACCACTGCAGGTCTCCCATTACACTTCATATTGTTTCTAAGATCCTTTTCCACCCATTTATTCTTTGTTTCAGAGGGATTGTTTGTGGCTAAATCTAATCCCAGCAGGCTGTAACAAACGCTACGCCGTTATGTTTTTGATGGAGGGTTGCTATGGTGACCCCAAGCTGCAGTTCTTTAATGACGAGCTTTGGAGATTTTTCCTGTCTTTATCAGGGGATGGGGTGGAAAGTCCACGCCCAGCCTCATTCCTCACTGATGTTTGAGATTTTACAAAATAGTATATCATGGTTTTTCAATAAACATCTTCCTCAGTGGGATGGTGAAGGGGCCTCTGTGCCATGGCATATTTATTTAATCAGGGTTTCCTAATTAAAGGTTCAAAGACAGACAGACTGAGAAAGGAAAGGTGAGGTGTCGGTTTAAAGATGATTCTTTAAAGATGGGGCTGCCAAGATGATTTTGTTTCTTAATACATCATCCTCATATAAAAGAATAATCGTTTTTATGGTGTTTTTGGACATCCATGTGTTCTGGACTGCAAAAACAATCTAGAAATAGGTTTATTTAAGTGTATTTAACCTTCATTTGTGTAGATAAATACAATGATCCCAATAGAATTATTATTTTTACTCTTAAAATAAGACAATTAGATAATATGCACATGAAATAAGACAATCCAAATGTGTTTTCTTATTTTAAATGAAAATTACCCCTTCTTACTTACCTCCTCAATTCAAGACTATATGCACTAATTTCTTAAAAAAAAAAATAAATAAATACTTGTTTAGATTTTGCAGTGTGGTCATCTTCTGTCACTGGAAAAATGTCTTGATTAAGTGTCTTTATCATTAATTTGAGTAGGTAAATGAGATAGTTTGCAAATGGAATGAGTATTTTTACTCATAGAATAATATAATTAGATAATATGCACTGGAAAAAAAACAATGCAATTGTGTTTTCTTATTTTAAATGTAAATTGTGTTGTTCTAGTGGCAAGATGTCTCTTTTACCTCCTCAATCCAAGAACAAATGTAGTAATTTTAAGAAAAAAAATGGTTTGTGTTTCTGTTAAAGTCACAGCGACTGATGTCCCGTTTCTCCTGCCTCTTTTTGTCCTTGTAGCTACGACAGCGAGGGTCGCCTGACTAATGTGACCTTCCCCACGGGAGTGGTCACCAATCTCCACGGCGACATGTCTTCAGGAGCCGTGGCGGTGGACATAGAGACATCGGGGAGGGATGAGGATGTTTCCATAACAACCAACCTGTCATCCATAGACTCCTTTTACACATTGGTGCAGGGTAAGGTCCCGGCATGCGTTCAGCTTCCAACAACAAAGAAGAGTGTGACTCATTTCCAAAGATGTAGGAGTAAAGAAAGCTAAACGACCACAGTGGGAAATAGAGATTAGTCAACCCCAAAGAAATCCAGCTGTCTGTCTGAGCTGCTGGCAGGATGCCGCTCATCATCCTGGGTACGACTGTACATTTGCTGTTCCTCTCAGATTGGATCATTTTTCCCTGATGTCTTCATCGCAGCGTATGTTGTCACTCATCACTACAATTATTCACAATTACCATGTAGAAATGAGAAAGAAGCTAAATATGTTATGTTTGCAAACCCATCTGCTAGACTCAGCTTCTCCCGAGTTAAACAATAAACAGAAACACGACGGCCTGCTGATGTACTCACACTGTTTTCCTGATGGGAATGTGGCAGCCGTCACCAATGACAGGAAGGTTCAGTTTATTTGCAGCCTCTTCTTCTTCCAAGGTTTTAAGAGGTTTTAACCGACATGGATGCTTCCTGCTGCCCAGACATGTGGACGATCCACAAGCATTTAATGGAAACTTATTCTGTTACGCTCTGAGTAAGGACCCAGAATTCAGCCAGAACAAACAGGTGATGTTTAAAGACAGTTTATTAAGGGGTAAACTGCAGCAGGTTTGTTGTTAGCGTCTCTGGCAGGAACCTCTGCAAGCAGCCCGGGGTCTGGTGGGAACAGTGAGCGCTGGTTGAAAGGCACCCTAACGATCCCCACTCTCATCAGGACCCTGGTATGGGCTCTAGCTGGTACTCGGTGGTCAGGGGACAGACGGGGGATCAGAACGGTGAAGACGATGACTGGCAAGAGGTCCATGGGGAATTTCCAGATTCCATTGTCAGAGATGTCCAGGGTCAGAGCCGGGTGATCTGATGTCAAGAGAGAATCCAGAGGGAAACCCAAGCCAGAGTACGGGTATAGATCGGGGTCCAGTAACAGGCAGGCTTACAGATAACAACAGGGGTCAGACTGGCTCAGATAAAGGGGAGACAGAACAGGTCAGGCAAGCAGGCAGTCAGGAAGAAAGGAAGTCAGGAACAGAACGCTGGAATAAACCTCTCCAATGGCTGTAAATAATCTGGCACTGAAGGCTGGTTATATGGATATGTGCAGGTGGATCAGATGAGGGAACCCCAGTCGGCCTTGGCAGTTTTTCTTCTCCACTGTCGCTACAAGCATGCTTGGTGTGAGGGATTGCTTTAGAGTCAATGAGTCGATGCAATCAGCTGGTTTTTCCTTAGATATAAAACTTGACTAGAGAAATAAACTGAATAGGTTTTGAGTGTTAACGAGAACAGGGCGGAGCTGAGCAGGTGCGTTGTATGAAATCAGACCAGCATCATGACACCTGTAGGTTCTTTAGTGTTTAGACTGGACCCCCCATTAAAAGGCCCAGTCTCCTCCTCTCAGGGGTTTTGGAGAAAGCCACAGCAACTGATGGAAACCAGCTAAAGTGATGGAGCAGATCCTGGAGGAAAGCCTGGATATTAATGCCACACTTTTCACATCTTTTTCCTATGAAAGCTTTTAGCAAGTATTTCTTTTCTCTTGGTTTTCACACTCAGATGCTTTGTGTTTTGGTACAGCGTGTGTTTATCACCTGACAGAAGCAGGAAAGGCTGAGAGGGTTTGCTTCTGTTTCTTTTATTATTATTGTTTGATTTTCCCTTTTTATTCAGAGCTGCTGTAACCCAAATGAAAAAAAACTGAATGAAATCTGTTTTTCATAAATCTCTATCTGGGAGCAGCAAATGAAAAATGAACAGTGGTGTATTTCAGCAGTGTTTGTATCAAAGATTCCCTGTAAATGATGTTATAGCCGCTGATATCATTACAGCAGGGATGTTTCTGTAGAAACTGAACCATGTTTCCTTTATTCATCTCAGTAGAACAGAAGCCAGCTTTAGATACATCCCAGCAGCCTCAGCAAAGGTTTATGTTTTTTCTTCAATCTGTCTTTTTTCCATCGTTCTTGTGACTTTTAATCCTGGTTTAAAGATGAGCTTGAGTCCAGACACACGGCCAGCCTCAGAAAGCCGTTCCTCTGCTCGGCCGTTCAGAGTCGCAGCCAGCTGAAGCGTTGCTTTCATCCGTCCGCGTTCCTCCCATCATCTCATCTGCATGCGTAGGTAGGAGACACCCCATTAGGTGCAGGTGCAGGCCAGAGATGGTAAACAAGCTAATTTAGCCGCTGTACTTAGTCATATTAATGATGCTGTTAACTGCTTGAGGAAGCAGAATGTGTGGAAACGAGAGGTCAAAAGGTCATTGACAGACATTTACAGTACGCCGCTGTTTCCTCTGAATCACCATGTATGATAATGTGCTGGGAGGTTAATGAAAACATAACCCTCCCCCCAAACACCCACCGTAATGTTCTGTAAGATCTCTAACAGAAATGATCAATTTTAATCATCGCTCATAAAAAATATTTATTTAAATTTTTTTTTTTTTTTTGTTGGGGGGGGGTATACAGCATGAAGGTTCAGGAGGCTCCGCCTACATCAGGTTACTCAGCTGTTACAACAGGCATAAAACAGAGAAATATCAGAGCAGAAGTCATTTTGAATGCTACATTAATTAAATAATATGTTTTCCATAGAAAAACGACAAATAGCCTCGTTGATCTATTAGTCAGTTTTAGTTTAGAGCTAACCAACCTTCTGTTTATGTTGTTTGGAAATAAAGGAAAATATTAAAATATGGTAAGATTTTTTGTCTAAATAATGTTATCAGGTGTCAAAAGTATTCATGTTTTTTAATTAAGTAGAAATAGAAATCTTATAAAGAACAGTTTTATAGAAGTTAGAGGATCATCTTCAGCTTTTTGCTCCAGTAAAAATGTAAAAGTATCATTTTTAAAAATACTTAAAGAATAAAAGTAAAAGTAATGCACGAAAAAATGTGAAGGACAGAAGCTTTACTGCTCTACCTTATCAAAGGAACATTTTTCTACAATTCTGGATGATACATTTCTTAGATTTCATTTTCTTAGTTTTATAACTAATGGTAACAGTGTCACATTTAACTTTGCATCATTTTGAAAAACTATTTATTTTGGTTTGTGGTGAACAACAAGTTGGGGCAGCACCGAGTCCAACCACAAATAAATTACTTGTCTAGATGAAACTAATTATTTTGATGGATTTTATCTTCTTTTAAATGCAAACAGGCCATAATGTAAATAAGCTTAAATAGAACAAAACTAACGAGTTTATTTTTTAATGTAAGGAGTACAAAGTAGAGATAATCCCAAAAAACTGTAAGAAGTAGAAGTAAAAAGTTCTAAAGTCAAGAAAATAATTACTTCAGTAAAGTGTCTCCTTGAACCCCAGTGGGCCACAGCAGATGGCCGCTCACACGTTCTGCTGGAGGTTTCTTCCTGTTCAAAGGGAGTTTTTCCTCTCCACTGTCGCTACAAGCATGCTTAGTGTGAGGGATTGCTGAAGAGTCAATGAGTCGATGCAATCAACTGGTTTTCCTTAGATAAAAATCTTTGAATCAATCTGACTGGATGATCTGGTGAACTGGAAAGTGCCTTTAATGACGTGTGTTGTAAATTGGCGCTATAGAATTAAACTGAATAGAATTCAATTGAATACATAGCTGAAATGTCTACTTCAGTAAAGTAACAAAGTATTTGTACATCGTTTCTGACTCCTCTGAATGTAACCTAATAAACTGCTGCTAGAAAGAGAAGCCTATAGAAGCTGCTCTAACCTGGATGCATAAATCTGATGAAGCTGCCTTTGATCAGTTTCAGTTTTTGGTGGGAATCAGTCAGCATCTTGTCTTGGTAATATTCGCCCACTCAGCATATGTCCTGGCTTCTGTCTCAGTTATTTCATAACTTTCATTTTCTTCTCACATTTAATGCCATTGCCTCCATCTGGTTGCATAAACAAGCCCTCTGATTGGATCGTAGCGCCCGTTGGTTTTACACATTAGTAGTAATATATTTTATTTTTTGGTATTTACGAGGAAGTTGTGGAGTCAAGCATGTCAGGAGGTCTGGCTGTGGATAGATAGAGGAAATGTCCAAGATCAGGTGTGAAAGGCTCAACAATATCAGATACCAACATCCATGATGCAGGACAAACCTTGGAGTTCCCCTTTAATGTTGATAGATGTGTGAGTACCGCCATCTGCAGGACCCACCTGCTGGCTAATCCAGACCCAACCTGATTTAAAACATTAATAAATTGCCGCATGTTGTCCGACGACGGTGTCTAACTTTATTTGCGCCGCTTCTCCTGTTAATACAGTAAAGCCCTCTGGCACCAGGCTGCACGTGATGCGTATTAGCCAGTGAGCTGCTGTCAGTCTGGGTTGCTGCTGCTGGTAGCTGCACAGATGGGAAAGAAGGAGAAGATGATGAGAAAAATAGAGCAGAGAAAGTGTGGACTGCTGGAAGAACTGTGGTGTACTGGTGAAAGAAAAGTGAAATGGTGCTCAAAGATGAAACCTCACATTTAGAGGATGTTTGGCTCAATCTTTTCTTTATTCGGACCTCACTGATTTTTTTATCGGTGACCCCTGCTCTATAAGGACAAAGTAAACAGCAGCAGGGCAGATGTGTACTGGATAATGTTTACTCTAACATCAACATCTGGTTATGAATGTTTGTCTTATGGGTGGGGAACCATTTATCCCCTCAACCAAGAATCCCACATCATAATGCTACCAACATTGTGTTTGGTGTTTTTCCCTTGGATTCTCCTTCATCTGGGCTGCTCAGTGGTGCAGTGGGTAGTTCCATTCTTTCTGCATGGAGTTTGCATGTTCTCCCTGAGCATGTGTGGGTTCTCTCCGGGTACTCTGGCTTCCCGCAGTCCAAAAACCCGACTGTTAGGTTAATTGGCTTCTCTAAATTCTCTTTAGGTTTGAGTGGTTGTTTGTCTCTGTGTTGCCCTGGCGACCTGTCCAGGGTGTACCCTGCCTCTTACCTGTGACAGCTGGAGATAGGAACCAGCACCCCTCGTGACCCCACTTGGGATAAGCGTGATGGAAAATGGATGGTTGGATGTTCCTTCATCGTTCATCTTTTAATCCATTTTTCCTCCTGTAACTGTTAATAAGGTGCAATACGGAAGAAATAAAACCTTTAAGGCAATTACATGTTAAAAAAGGCAAACCAAGAGAATTTAAGGCAGCGTTTCCAGGTTATTCTCTGCTTCCAGTTCTGGAATGAAATCAGAAATAATCCAGTTGACGTTAATGGCTGTGAGCTGAGTTGATTTACGGGACAGAGATTATTAAACACGCTCTACACTGACTAATTTCATCCTTATATCAAAGTGTCTTATCTTCATCGTTGTGAAACCATAGATCAGATCCACTGTAGAGGATTTTCAGAAATTGCCTTAAAGCGACATGTTAACATTTATCGTTCAGCTTTTCCACTTTAGTTCAGTTATTATAAAGAGAAAACTAAGGAACAAAAACCTTCCATATTCATTGTGGGTGGAAGGAAGGAAGGAAGGAAGGAAGGAAGGAAGGAAGGAAGGAAGGAAGCCAACGTTTGCTTTCCTGCATTGTGGCGTGGATCCAGCAGAGAGTATATTCAGTGAAAGATGAAGCGTGCGCTCGGCCACCATGTTGCACAGGCAGCCATTAGTCCTGTGGGAGGCTGAGAGGAACGTAATTGAAAAAGACTGAAGGATGTTAAACCTGCTCTCTGCTCCATTAGCAGGTTCAAACACGGCGCTCAGAGATGAACGCTTTCTAACCTCACTTTGTCTCCCTGCTGTCTATTCTCCACTCTAACACGTCTTTTCCCCTCCTCTATCCTCATTTCTGCTCACAATCGATCATACGTTCCTCACTAAACACTCTGAATGCTGTAAAGCCATGAGGTAACCATAACGGCTCCTCTGCTCTGTTTCATGCAGACCAGCTTCGAAACAGCTACCAGGTGGGTAACGACCATTCCCTCAGGGTCATCTATGCCAATGGGATGGACACGCATTACCAGACAGAGCCACATATACTGGCAGGTATGCAGTGAGAACTTCATCCTCATAGCCATCCAATGTTTCTGTAAACCTCTGACTTCCTCTGTTATCCTTCTAGGAGCTGCCAATCCCACGATCGCCCGGCGTAACATGACGCTGCCAGGAGAGAATGGACAGAATCTGGTTGAATGGAGGTTCAGGAAGGAGCAGAACCGAGGGAAGGTCATCGTGTTCGGGAGGAAGCTGAGGGTGAGTGCTCTGCTCCTATAGGTGGGATCTTAGAGTAGATCTCATTGATGAGAGGTCTGGAAAATTAAAGAAACATATCTCTGCAAAAAATTAAACAAGTGTTTGTTTGTTTTTTAACATAATTTACATTTCAATTAAGAAAAAAAATCAACTATCTTATCTTATTTCCAGTGTATAATATCTTATTGTCTTATTTTAAGGGAAAAATTGTCTCTATAAGGGGAACCCCATGATGGCAGCTGACCTCAACAAAATGTATATATTAACGATATCTGGTCATTTTCTCTAACTAGTTTTGGAGAATTACATCATTTTCGCAAAAAAATTAAATCTCATAAAGTCAATTTTTCTTAAGATAAATACATTTTTTCTTAAATTAGGGAGGAAAGTGAGACACTTTGCTAATGGAACAAGACAGTTTACATTTATAATAAAAAAAACAATTATATTGTCTTATTTCAAGTGCATAATAGTAAAAATCCTCATTCCATTGGCAGGTCATATTATTTATATGCTCAAATTAACGATAAATACACTTAATTTAAGAGATTTTTACTCATTTTCAGATTGTTTTTGCAGTGTATGCTGCTGCCTCGTGCACAGAGATTGGAATTAAACTTGGTTTAATGGATGGTTGCTGTGTAAACTGGTCATGTAGATAAAGGAAGGAGATGAATGTTACTGTATGGTAAAATCTTTTCTTCTTCATTTTATTACAGATGTCTTGATTTATTCTCACACAGAGACATCATTAGCACATGCTTCTATAAATATGGGCAATAGATTAGACCATGCATCTATTATTTATCCTAAATACCTGCAGGCTCTACAAGGGGCTCCCAAGAGCTGCAGCCCACAGGATTGGAGGATGGGTTGACAGGGTCATTTCTATGCCCACAGGCAATTTACTGGTTCACACTTTCATGTTTTTACACTGTTGGAGGGAGAGAGAGCGTACCACGGCTCCGCTCACAGGAGGACCCCTGCTGTCTGTGAGGAGAAACATCTAGAGCCAGCTTAGCTCTCCTTCTCGTTTAGTCATCATCTGTGGGCAGAGGTCACCAATCTGAAGCATTCAGCATCCCCGGTAATGGGACACTCCCCCGCATCAGCTTAGCTCTGGGAGGTGTTGGGCTGCGTTTGGCCTCCATGGCTCCAACCCTCAGTTAAAGGAACAGGAAACTGATTGCAGGTCATTTGGATCCCCTGGTGGGTCTGTCTGGAAAAGAAACAGAAAGATGTCCTAATGTCAGCATTGACAAACTAGACGATCACTGGGAGAAAAATGATGGCCAGAGAGAAATAACGAGACAAGCAGAGAGAAATAACGAAAAGGCATCGAGGAGTAAAGGAAACCGTTGAGAGCTGCTGGTCGGCGGAGAAAACATGTCCACAGGTGTCTGTCGAAAATGAAATAATAAAATCAAAGGTTTCATGATAATAATAGAACTCTATTGATCTCACATTGGAGAAATTGACTCTCTGCATTTAACCCATCCCCTTGGGGAGCAGTGGGCTGCCATTGTGTGGCGCCCAGGGAGCAGTGTGGGGTTAAGGGTCTTTGCTCAGGAAACCAGAGTGCACACTGTGGG